GAGAGAGAGAGAGAGAGAGAGAGAGAGAGAGAGAGAGAGAGAGAGAGAGAGAGCCTTCGAGAAGCACGAGAACATGCATGCGCTTGCCTTTCCTTTCCATTGATTTTTTTGTAGTTACCTGAGCTTGTAGCTCCTTCTGGGCTTGTGATGATCTCGTGCGGGAAGCCTTTGGCTGCTGGGCGTTGCCCGCATGCTGGTTGTTTGTCATGTTACTTGAATCGTTATTCTTGCTCCTATTCTTGGCGCCAGTCATCCCGAACCGGCGAACAATCAAAGCGAACAAGGTGATTCAGGCAGGTGGTAAAAAGCTGCTGTTATGACAACAAAGCGGTGCAACACAGCAGGGCATGCGAGAGGGGAGAGTGAACAGTGAGTGAAGTCAGTGAAACTTGTAGCAGGAACGACAATACTACTGTAATGATGATGCTCTCTCTGCGTTTGTAGGCATGTGAGGGGCGCCGTCCTCCATGCAGCAGTCGTGCAGCAGTAAAGATTGTAATTTCCTTCAAAATTTCGTATCAATAACTGACCTGATCACCCAGTGCGACTCACACCGTTGTTGTACGGTCAACTCTAGTCATACAGTAATGACATGTACTGTAGGACCGCGATTCTCCTATGACTCGCCACACAAATGTAGCCTATGTGCGTGATTTCTTTTCAACGAGATTCTCTATGCCCCCCTTTTTCTCAGGCATGGCATACTCCGGGCGGGGTATTGATGCTAGGCAACACAGCCTTTGGCGGCGTGCAGATTTGGTAGCAGCACCGCTCCCCGGCACAGAAAACGCGGGTGAAGATATTTCACCAGATGTGTTTACCAGGTACAGAAAAAATGCCATAAAACTTGCTTGCCTTTGAAGCGATGGCCACGCATGCAAGTGATCCAATCTCCTACCAATACACTGCGGCACGAGAACGGGCCCTCCTGTTTGAAAGAGATGACTGAGACGGCCCGCTCTTGATATTACTCAACAGCAGTTGTGATGAAAGTTCTCGGAATCACGATAGACGCAAAAACACAGCGAGCCGTGTTTCGTGGCGATCGCAGACAATTCACCTTACCTCGTGGTAGGTATGCCCTTGCACCGTGCCTTGCTTCTCGACCGCACCAAAGACTTTGGTGTACGTCCCGAAGATGTGGTGTGCTTCTGTCGTGCGGGCGCGGCACCAAGCGGGGCCACAACATCTGGAAATCCCGGTAAGACGGGTATGTCGAGTTGTACGGGCTGCAGGGCCCCTCAGAAATGACAGTCCCGTGTCCCGTGTTGCACACCACACATCGGCATCAGCTGATCAGCATCGTCCAGGGTTGCCGCAGAGCGAGTCCTATATGGACGAACTGGTAAGCCCTCACTGCTAAACAGCACGTGGCTCTTGGCTTGCCAGATAGTCATGGTCTCCTTGCCAAGGATGAGTGCCTACCGTCGTTTACAACTCAGCGTCTTGTGTACGTAAGCAAGCTGGTCCTAAAATTTAACGTTCCCGTTGTTGCCTCAAGGTGTCACGAGTCACGGGTCCTGCCTTCAGTGCTGAAAAGTGTGGCTGGTAGTTATCGCGTGCTGCTGTGCATGACTTTGCTGTTCGCTGCTGATGAGTCTGTCCCTTGGCCAGGCCCGCTCTGTAGCCTCTACACTGCATTGCTGTTGACTGCTGTGACACACACGAAGCGTCCGGGTTTCAAACCCCCACTTTCCCCATCCCACCTCAATTTGTTGAGCAGCGGTGCCCTGTTGGTGTCCTCCAGCTCTTGGATGCCATAGAGCCTCCAGCTCGTCTCACATCGCGGAATCGGCTCGAACTAGGTCTATTGCCTGGCGGCGAGAAAGGCGTCGACAGTCTGCACGCCGTGGCCGTCGCCAACCTCCACGCGACTGCAAGCGATGAGGCCATCACGTTGGGCGTCAGGTGCCTCCTGGCCTTGGGAGAGCTCTGCCGAGAGCTGGAGTGTTCCGAGCGTCTTGGGTTGGTCGGTGGACACCAGGACATTGTCCGCCTGATGACAGAGGGTAACACCGCCGGACACCCGCGCGGCCGCGCGTCGGGGTTGTCCACCAAGCATCATCAGCAGCAGGAGCGGCCGTCGAGAACTAGCGGTGACGACCAGGCTGGAAGTCAGGGGAAGCCAGGTGCAGATGACGCGGGCACGTGCTGTGATAGCGGGACGGGGCAAAACGAAGACGACGGTGAGGATGAGGATGAAGTGCAGTCCGCGGCCGCCTATGTTGCAGCTCAGGTGGTGTGTTCCGGATCAGCTTTCCCCATGCGCAAAATTTTGGGCGCGGAGGGATCGTCGGGGCTCGGAAGGTTCCCGCTGCAGTACAATTTTGTCATCGACCACGCTGATAAACTGCACCAAACCCAGCTATCTAGTGCTGCGGGCACTGCTGAAGGTGGGGATGTCGGCGCCAGCGAGGTGGGTGGAGACGGAGAACCAATTTCAGTTTTGGTCCGACCGGTGAAGCAGCGGCAGCACAGTCAGTTTGACGTCGGGTTCGTCATGTGGCCGGCCGCAATCATCCTCTCTCGGCTCCTGTGCCGAAACCCTAGGTTAGTCCGTGGTCGGCGCGTGCTCGAGATCGGGGCCGGTCTTGGCTTGGCTGGGCTTGTAGCCGCACGCATCCAGCAGGTGCCCTCCTCGGCGTCGAACGCCCCGTTGGAGGAGCTTGCTTGCTCTAACGGCGGCACTGTCGTGGGCAGCCGTAGCGATGTAGCTGCAGCATCGGTTACTTTGAGCGATTTCAACCCCCTAGTTTTGAGGGCTCTGGAGGCTAACGTTGCTCTCAACTCGCCTGATAGCGGTATTGTGGCGAACGGGGGAGTGCCTGGCGGTTTTCGGCGGGATTACTCGAACAGCGACGAAGAGACTGGTAGCGTGCGACCCGAACATGATCGAACGGGAGAGGCGCCAGAGGCAACCGTCCAACATGGAACGGTGCACGTGCGACACCTCGATTGGGACAAGCTAGAGGGCGTGCCGGGGGTCGGCGCGGACAACTGCCGGTCGTGCTCTGTTATTGAACATGGGGATGGCCGTACTCAAGCCGCTGGGTCCCAGCCTAGAGAGGATGCCGGTAACAGCAATTTTGACAACAGCGAGCCCAGCAGTCACGCCGCGGAGTCATGCTTCCCGCGGGACGGTTGTGTAAATGGGTTGTCGCGAGGAGAAGACGGTGGGGTTAAGGGCATGGAGCATGAGCATGGTGTGGTTAAGAGCATCGAGCATGGGGAGCGCTTTGACGTCATCATTGCCTCGGATCACATCTGCCAGGTGGGTATGTATTAGATTTCCACTCGTCATGGTTCGTACTGCGTTCACTTGATTTCCAAGATGTTTTGGTTGACCGCACCGAGCTCGACGCAATAGACACCGTTTTAAGCAGCACCAAGCTCATTGTGTTACGCTGCTTGAGTTGTCGTGGTCAAATTGCTCCATTGACCGCTGCGCGCTTCACCCTGTCACCGTAGGCATTGTGCCTTCCTTGCCCTAGGTACACAGAGTTCCTTTGAAAATATCACCACCGTTGTGCAGCAGCATGTCGACCCCTGGGATTTGTGTCCTGATGTTGTTGGAAGTTTGTACCTTACAGCCTAGCATGACGCGATCACGCTGATGCCCTTGAAGCAAGGCGCCATGGGGGGATTGCAATAGACTTTGCTAGTTTCGCCTTCGTATTGAATCGAATCTAACGACTAATCTGGTGCGATTTTTTCCCGCACTCCATAACACGTAAGGTGTAAGTTTCAACCTATGCCCGACCACGTCTCTCTCAGCATTGCGTCGCCCATTCCCCCCCGGTCTTCGCCTCCTCCTGGTTCTTGCTCTCAGGCATCGGACGCGGAGGGCACTATTCGCGTGCTTCGAGCGATGCTCGCCGAGGCTCCGGGACCCACAGCAACACCGCCGACAGCATCCCCAACAATACCACCACCAGCAACAGGCGGGCAGGCGCACTTCGTCGTGGCTCACCCGCGCACCCGCTGGGGCGTCGACGCCCTCGTGCCTCTCCTTCGAGAAGCCCCGGGGCTGGACTTCACATGCAAGGAAGTCACCGATCCTGACCTCGTGGGTGGGCTAGAGGAGGCGGCGTACTTGGCTTGGCTGCACATACACGTGTGGACGGTCAGCGAGCGGTCAGTAGAGCCCGCTGCTGCTGCGGCTGCTGGAGCTCTGCTGGTTGCGGGGTAACGCTGAGGGTTGGTGCTTGTGTGGCGGGAACGACCAGGTTGGTAGGAGTGCCATGCACCCCCGTTCCTCGGAATCCGTGCTCGTGTCAATTTGGGGTGCAGGCGGCTTAATAGCGATAGGGTTAACTCTGGGACATATTTTGACGGTACAGTACCGTAGCACTTGGAACTATATAAGGCCGAAGTCTACCGGAACTATTTCAGGTGGTCAAAGCGGCTCTCGGAGTTTTGGTGTGGGTTTTGCGTGAATTCTGGAGTTGGTAGGGACGTTCATGGTGATGGCATCTACGAACGCTGGTAGCTTTTGGCTGCGGTGCGCTATTGGACGAACTGCCCTCCGTCGGCTGGAGAGCGGGGAAAATGCGAAAGGGGTTCGTTTTGATTTGCGTGCCGGGACCCTGCCGTCACCTTGTGGGGCATGTTGTTGCAGAAGGGCTGCCGCTTCACGGCTCACCTCGGCAATGGTTGGGAACGAGTGCGAGTGTAAGCGTACTTTGGGCGAAGCATATACGAGCTGGTGTGGAAGTTTTGATGTGGTTTTGTTATTTTTTTTCTTTTCGGGCCCGTTGTGTTGCTGAAGATCTTGCTCCTGTGTACTCTTGTGATATCGGGGCGATGTTTCTACTCTCTCCGCGAGTAGGTCCCATGGGACCCTATTTGAACTGCCATTTTCCCGTGCTCCGTGAGTGTAGCAACCAGATTCGGCTGCTTATTTTGGGAAGTCTTCAGCGGGAACCAGGGATAGGTGTGGGTATTCTGTCACGGCAGACCGTGGGCCCAAAGCAAACGATTTTGTCTGACGGCTTTTTCGGGCAACGCCAAAAGTGCGTAACATGTCGGGTTCACTAGTGAACACCAGCGACACGAGAACTCCCGTCGTTTTCCGTGCGCTGTAAGCTCGAGGGGTTCTGTTTGAATATGTCGGCTTTATCGCGTTCGTTTGCCGAGAGGATCTGACGAAGAGGAAGGTGGAGAGAGGGGAGGCATGGTCCCTGTGCCTTCGGAGATGAAACTGCATGCAGCGGGAAGCCTTGTCCAGGGCATCTATTACAGTGTGTTTGAGCGGCGTGGTGGGCATATTTGGCGTTGGTGCGACCTATCGCAGCAGCGGCTTCGACCCGTTTGTTTTGTTGGCGAAAACTCTTTGGCTTATTACCACCCCATGGCTCTTCCCACCCGATTTTGAACGGGTGGACGACGGCCCTTTTACTTGAGCATCGGCCCTTATTTTTCTGTGTGGATGATAGAAGGGCAGTCGTGTTGCGTAAGGCGCCTCAATTGCATGCAGGTCGAGGGACAATCTAACGCGGGGTGTCTTTGTCCATCATCTGGTCTACCGCTTGGTCCGTTCCTCAGAAATGCTCATGTATGTTCTTCATCGGGTCCATTGAGTGCGTTGCTGCAGCGGCGCAAGCTAAGGCTTGGCAACATTCCGCTGAGTAAGGTTTGGGTGCAATTTTGGCTCAAGATAGATTGTCCGCGCCTGGCTCGCGTCTTCGGTGGCGAATTGTACTTCAGTTGTATGCAGGGGTGGGATGTTTGAAAATTGGAGCACAGGGTCGGACTTGGGTTTTCTGTGTAAGAGTGTTACGGATCGCGATCTGTTCCTTGAAGCAGCGAGATAATCGCACGCTCCGTTCACAGGTGGAATTTCAATTCTTTCTAGGGCAGCAACTCTTCAAACAAACAGCAGTGGATCCCGATGAGGCAGTGCCACGACTGAGCATGCCCTCATGAGAGTATCCCACCCGTTGGTCGTGGTGAGCGTTCATTGTTGCCAGGCCTTGTTTTTTTTTTCGCGCCGCGCCAACTGTTGGAACAATGTCTTCGTCAGCCAGCTGAGGACGACGCACGGGTACTACCTGACAACAGCATGAACCGGCCGCCCCACGGCTAAAACAAGCTCAAACGTTTGTATTTACGAGAACAAATGTCACACTCCCGACGCCTGGAAAAACGGGTGAGATCCCCTTTTTGCCTGTAACAACTGTTCTCGAGGCTCAGCTGAATGGTACTGTTCCCTTCGTGTCATTGGAAGCCAAAAAGCCGATGCGGCAAAATACCACATTTCGTGCAGTTTGGCTCGGGCAGGCTGATGCCTACAAACCGACGCACGCGAAATGACAGCAGTTTGAAAACCATTCTGTGTCGTACTGTTGTACAGGGTTGGTAGGTGTCTGGTACACTGCAAGGCTAACTTTACGGACCGGATCAGAGAAAAAGAAAAGTACAAATTTCACGATAGGCTCTCGTCGTGGAGCCCTACCGGCATTTTCTGGAGCATATGCAAACTGTTCTCGTCGCCAGGGTCGCTAGTCTAACGAAATCGCTGGTACCCGCCGCGAACTCGAAAACGAAGTCGATAGAAAACTGAAACAACAACGCAACATGACACGGACGAATCGGGCTAAAAGAATCCAGGATTTTGCTCTCCGCGGCGACAATACGCGCGGGGCTCGAGAGGGTACATTGCCTCTTGCTCTCAGCTTGCGTTGCGGCGAATATCGAAAATGGAACAGAGGTGTCCCTCGGCGTTTTTGTTGTTGGAAACCTGGGCTGATCAAAACAAGCAAGCTTCTGTCAGAGGCTTCCTCAGCTAGTCAGGCCGCAACGGCACAAATCAAACAAGGGGGAAAAGGCGCAAGTCTCCGCCCCCCAAGTTACGCCTTCGCCTCCCCTTGACAGTTCTCGCTGCAAACAAGCACAAAAGCAGGTCTGAATGCGAAACGTTCCTTCTAGAGGGCGACAAGGCGACAACCCTGCCAGTGATTATTATCACTACCAACGACAGGCATCAGCACTATGCATCTACCCACGGCGGCGGTGCTACCTTCTACGCCGTCTGTCTTCGTCGATGGCGTCGTCGTCGTCGTGTTTGTCGTTGCTGCCGTCTTCTCCAACCCCGGGCAGACGCCACGAGCAAATTCTACACAGCATCCTCGCCGCCGGTGGCCATCGCCCGTCCCATCCACTGGAATGTGTGGATCTGCTCCGCGTGGACCCCTTCCAAAACGTCGTCCGGAGCTATGCCGGTGAGAAAAGAGTATTTGTTGTGAATACGAGCGTTGGAACCTGGAGGGAGGGTATAACATGTGGCGAGCGCAACTTGATAATGTTCCACAACAACATACTGGGGCGGGGCCTCAAAAACAATTCGGAATCGAGGGGGTCTACTTTGACAGAAATTGATTTTCTCTGTCCATCCATCTGTGGGCTGGCTGTTCGCCTTTGTTGCCTACTGCCAACAAGCGATATGACGCACGTCAAAGTGTGTGTGCTGTCGAATGTCTGCTGAAAACCCTAGGCGAAACATCAACACCAACAAGCATATTACCTGTGCAGCCTAGAAACGAGGAAGAGAGCCGGTTGCAGTTGTGGACCATGCAAACGTACGTTCCGTACGTACCTTGTTTCTTACAACGGCTTCCGGAGAGAGTATGACAACAACAACAACAACAACAACAACAACAACAACAACAACAGAAGCAACAACAACAACAAATTGTTTATGACAAATTCAACTCGATATCAACTCAAAGATGATAACAGCTGTGCTTTACAACTCTTGAACAACTGGCTTTATTTCGATGGCGGGGGAGTGTACTCATAGTCGTGCATGCCGTGGTCGTTACACCATTGACCTCGCATCCCTACAAAGCCGGGACGGAGCACGCCGGGTTTTCACCGGACCAGGCTCTCACATCACCAAGCGCGAAGCGCCGTGAGGTATTCGGCGAGTCGCATGAAGGGTGCGCTGCATCCTTCTAAGGGTGTTCGGCATCTTGTGCTTACTTCCTTGCGTACGGATGACAGTTGCGTATGCCTTAATTTATTTCTGGTGCTTTCACTTCCAGAGACAGTTGTAAGCACTGTGTAATTGCCTCGAGGAAACTTGACAATTTTAACACAACGTGGTCCCGTGCGCGGAGTGAGGGTTCTTGACCCCGCATAACATGATCTACTCAACCACAATAATGGTTACCGCAAAAAAAATACAGAGGTAAAAACAAAAGCGGTAACCTAGTTGCCGAGCTCACGAAGAGAACCGGCTTGTTTTTACAACGCCGTTGCCTAGGGACGACAACCCAACCCCGACGGCAAACACCGAGGGGGGCGGGGTGTACTCATAGTCGTGCATGCCGTAGTCGGCACACCATTGACCTCGCATCCCTACAAACCCGGGACGGAGCACGCCGGGTTCTCACCGGACCAGGCTCTCACATCACCAAGCGCAAAGCGCCGTGAGGTATTGGCGAGTCACATGAAGGGTGCGCTGCACCCTGCTAAGGGTGTTCGGTATCTTGTGCTCACTTCCTTGCATACGGATGACAGCTGCGTATGACTTAACTTTTTTTCTGGTGCTTCACTTCCAGAGACAGTTGTAAGCCCTGTGTAACTGCCTCGAGGGTGCTTGACCAGTTCACCACAACGTGGTGCGATCATCCCCCTTGCTCGGAGTGAGGGTTCTCGACCCCGCACAACATGATCTACTCGACCACCATTATGGTTACCGCCAAAAANTCACCACAACGTGGTGCGATCATCCCCCTTGCTCGGAGCGAGGGTTCTCCACCCCGCACAACATGATCTACTCGACCACCATTATTGTTACCGCCAAAAAAAAAAACAGAGGTAAAAAAAAACACGGTATCCTGGCTGCCGAGTTCACGAAGTGAATTGGCTTGTTTAACAACATCATTGCCAGGCGACGAAACCCAATCCCGACGGCAAACACCGAGGGGGTGGCTTGTTGTACAACGTCGTTGCCAATCGACGAAAACCCATCCCCAATGGCAAACACCAGGGGGGGCGGCTCGTTTTACAACGTCGCGTGGCCGACGAAAACCCAACCCCGATGGCAAACACCGGGGGGGTGGACGGGGAGGGGGAGGAGGAGAAGCTCCAGAGGACTACCACGTCCGAAGAGATGGCTGTGTTCTCACCATTTCAAAACGAACTCGATGAGATTAGTGTTTGCCACACGAATGCCCGTGGCGAAAGATGTTGCCCCGGCCAGTATCGATTTTTCGATGCTTACGCAAGGAAAACGTGCTGCAGTAGCCGTAAATCAAACATGGCACGAACGTGTCACCACAACAAACCAGATGCGCGATGTCGTGCCGAAGTGCGTGTCGCTTCGAACTACCCCCTTACGCGAACACTGAACGTTCCCTCAGCGCTACGGTTTGCCCCGATCACAACTCTATCCCTGCCCTTGGACTGCCTCTGCCCCCTCCCTCCACAAACCCCTTGACCCACACTAAACACCATACCTTCTGGATACACAGTCGCCAGACACGCTCCGCCTGCGTCACTGCTTGTCACTAGCTGCAGACGATCAGCTGTTGCGTCGCACTGGAAACGTCCACAGAAGGAAGAGACAAACATCGTGAATGCGAACAAAAACCCCACGGGCCGGTATTGACTCATCTTCCGTGGGTGGAGCATGCGGTTTGTCGTGCACAAAAGAGAATGAGCATTCATAATAACTGGACACTGATGACCATCAACTACAGCGGGCTGGCGCTGTCATCTTTGCCGCTGCTGTGAGCTATTCCCTCGGGATACATGTAAAGGCTATGCATATCGTGTACTTGGCGGCAGCAACCACAAGCCAACAAACGCCGGAAACAACACCTTGTAATATCCGGCATCCAGTTATTGTTTCTGTAGTGTGCAACCTCTTTTGCTTAGTTGACCTGCATTGGCGGAAGGCGTTTACTTGTTGTGAACCGGTACGGATGGTAGACGGTACTGAACATAAACTCACATCAACAACACAACGAATCCTGCCAATGTGTGGCTCGAGCACAAGCACGAGTCGGCAGAGAAACTGGGCCACTGCGACGAGTAGTACAGAGCCAAGATTTCAGACGATATTTTCGCCCGCGGGTACTGAATACTAGGCTCCTGAATAAATTAGGTGGCCTCAATCACACACCTGCCGGGAGCTCACTCAGCAGCATGTGCACTCGTCCTTAGGCAGAGAGAAGAGGTGATCCGCAGCTTTTTTGTCTCCTGGTAGTCCACTATGCAGTCCATCGCCTTACCCCAATCCTCGCCCACCACCGCCGCCGCCCCAGCCCATGCTGCCACTTCTATCTCTTCACCCTCCCGTGGAGCAGCAGCAACGTCGCCAACACCAACGTCGGCGTCAGCAGGAAGCTCCCCCCTCGCCAAAGCACGGACGTCGCTGAACTTCTTCATCCTCTGCGCTCCGGCGGCGTGCCAGACAGACAGGGTATGTATCCGTGTAGGTGAAGCTGTAGACCCCCTCTTCCTCCAGCCAAAGAACCCCAGGTTGCTCGCCGGACACTCCGTGTTCATGACCGAGTCGATTGCCTACAAGCGCCGCAGCGAGGGGTTAACAGCCGGGATCGATAAACGTCCTCTCCATGTCGGCGATTTCGGACGGGAACCTCTTCGTGGCTTACCTCGTATCTTGACAACGGTTGAGTCTCCGGGTGGAAACCTGACGAAACGGTCAAGGATATCTTGGTGGCATTGCGACATAGGGCCCGACAAAATCGGCAACAGCATCGTGGTGTCTAGTCGGCATGGATACCTGTCGAAAGCTTCGCCCCGCTTTGAGCGGAAATATAACGATAAAATGGAATACAGCATGCATACGTCAGAGAAGGTTGCCCACATCCTCACGAGCAAGACCTCGGCGTCGAAGCGCATATGAATGAGCCCTTCCTCAGAGCCGGTGAGCATGAAGGAGCGATTGTGAGGGTGGAGCCGGACCTGGACGTAATACGGCAACATGACAGGCAGCCACACGAGCGAACGCATTACGATGTCGCGGTGATTGTTGGCCACAGTCTTTGCCGTCGTCTTCCCGCAAGCAATTGGTCCTGCCTCGCCACCAAGCGCTCTCAAACCCCGTACACCAATACAGTTAGCGTCTGCAATTAGGAAAAAAAAATGAAGAATTTGAGGCTCACTCGTCCACCAAAAATAAGAAAATAGGGTCAAGAAACATAGCTCAGTCTGGTTCACACAACGAGAAATGTCTTAATAAGAACAGCGGCGACCGCTGCCCTACTACACAAGAAACGAGGGGTTGCGGGGGAGTGTGTCGAATAAGAAACACCACAGCTTCTCCTGTCTCTCACTATTTCCCCCCTCTCCCACTACCCCCCCCCTCCCATAGTGTATTATTGGTTGTACGATAAGGGGGAGTGTGTTTTTTTGCGGCGCCCCATTCGGCCCCCTGCCGGCTCTGGCGCTCCGGCTCTGGCACAGCACACCAGACAGGCTGCGAACCACGATATGCTGTCTGCTGTACGGTTTTGATGGTGCTCTCCGCCAGCTCTCGTGAGGGCAAATCATTTGTATTTTTTCAACGTTCGTTGTGTAATGTAGTAAGCAAGCAGAGAATACAAGAAATTGCCGATTTAAAAAAATCAGCAGGATTTGGCGGCACGAAAAACTAAGAAACTTGACATGAGAAATTGAACGACATGCGCTGAGTTCATTGCCCACAAAAAGAACTCGAGGCTGCACCTGAAATAAGCGTTTCTTTTTTCGAGCTCTAACTGTATCAACGGGCGAAAGAATTGTAGTCGGTCGGTGAAGGGCAAGGTGGTCGGTCAACCTGTGCCGAAGGTCTTGCCGTGTTGCAAGTGCAACAAGCGAGGCAGTAAGCTGAGACACAACATCTCGAACAGCAGGGGTGTGTCATGAGCGAACTCTGAGCAAAACAACGATTTTCCCCGAGTTCCGGGAAAGGAAAACTTCCAACAAAACAACGTCATTTAGTCTACCTGTGTCTGTGTGACACTCCGAGTTCGACCAGAGCGGCTTCCCCGCCTTCCGCAAGTCGTAGAACTCGATAAAGCAATTTTTGCCGGTGGCGCACATTCGACCGTTGTATCCCAGCTGGGACGCCGATGTTCATGTCGGACGACGATGCGGGAAGGAAGCAGCACAGCAGTGATGCCATTGAACAGGGAGAAGGAACCCGATGGAACCACGAGCTAGACTTTAGTAGCACAAGCTCGTTGTGGCAATGATGAACGTGTAAAAAGCTGGTAGGTAAACGACGAGACAAATCAGAAAGAGAGTCGATGCAGCACGTACATATCGAGTGCAACTACTGCTGTACCAAGTGCTCCGGAAGGTGGTCAGCTGCCGAGAGAAAAAATGACCAAGTGCGGCGGGATTTGGGAACCCCCCGAAACGGCACGAGACATCAGATCGGTCCCCCATCCCCCATCCCCTACTCTGCATGTTTTTCGTGTGCTATGCGGATCTCTCTTCAATGCTCTTAAGCGCAAGATTTTATCGTGTGTACCTCTCTCACGCCCTCGACGCTAACTATTACTCCCGTGGATACCCGAGCACTTCGTAACACCTTCACTTCTTTCGGATCTCATCACCATGATGACTACCCTGGCTTGTTTGGCTGCCCTCGTGGGCGGAGCGTCGGCCTTCACGGCGCCGATGCCCATGCACCGCGCTGCACGATCCCCCGCGGGCGCTCTCAGCATGGCGAACAGCAAGGCGATCCCCTTCATGCCGCAGCCGGAGAACTTGGACGGGACGATGGCTGGGGACATCGGCTTCGACCCGCTTGGCCTCTCGAAAATCGACATCGACTTCAGCGAGGTGCAGTACGGACTTGAGAAATATGTACCATTGTCCTTCTTCCCTCAGCAGCGGCATTAGCAGCACATGGGACATGACCACTTGAAACCATCGTTGTGCGTTCCTCTTGATGTCTCGTACGCTCCTTTTCACGTCAATCTTGTGCACATGTGAGCGTCAATTCAGATGCCGAGTAAATTGAGGTCTCATTGGTCGCTCGGTCTGTCTGTCCTTGCGACAGCGACCATTCAAACGTGGTGAGGTTTTTTTCCCTCGCCTCTTGTGGGCCTTTTTCGATCAACGAGTCAAGCAAGGCCTCTTTCCATTTACGCAATACTTGCCAATCGCGCATTACAGCAGTCGGACGGCTTCTCTCACGATGTGAAGCAGCACCCCTAATGATTTGTTGTAGGCTTTACCTTTTACAACCTGCTGCCTCTTGCCCTAGTAGTCCTCCGGTGTTTCAGAGGCTTTTTTCCCTCCCCACCTGTGCTCACGTCCCCGATGACAACATCCACGTCATGCAGGTCGTCTCTAAAACACCTTGTGCAAAACAGCTGGTGTAACATGAAGCCTCAGCAGCAGTAGCGGCCCTAGGATGATGGATGTGGTAAATTCTCCACGCCTGCAACAGCGGTGGCCTATCAATCACTTCCCTAGTTTCAACAGTGTTGCAGGCGCGACGAAAGATTAGCCCGTTCTTGACAACTCGGCTCTGGGGGGATGGTATGGTATGTATTTTTTTCTCTCATGCGCTCATGTTCTGGTGTGGGCACGAGCTGTTTTTTTTTTTTTCTTGGTATCACACAATAAATCCATAGCATGAGCGAAAGGCTATTATATTATTTTTGGTTGATTTCATCCGCTGCTTTCCATAGACTGTGCCCACAACCACACCCTCAGCTATCTCTGCGAGATTTGTTGGCAAGACTCCGAGCGGGTGCCGCCGGCACGAGACATGTGTCGAAGTTCTGTCTGTGTTGCACACGTTTCTGTACTGCGGGAGCGCCATCGACCGCGCTTGACGATCGGATTGTCTTGTTCCAGCAGGTGTGTGACTTACTTGGCGTACTCTTCTCAGAAAGTAAAAAGTCTACCTCATTGAAATACTTGTACCCGTTCGAGATAATGCCACAGCCGAACACCGGGTCCAGCAGAACGCAGCATTATCCACTCTTCGCTCTATCTAGTTGTAACCAAAGCGCGTATATATCATTGCTCCCTCCTGTTGAAACGTGTTGGTCGTGTCCTGGCTGCTTACTCTGCAGTTCATCGTGCCGGGGGCAGCCGTGATGCGCGAGGAGGGGGTGGAAAGCGAATCGCCAGTGGACACCCTCTACTGGATGCGCGAGGCGGAGCTTAAGAATGGCCGCGTCGCTCAGCTCGCAGGTGCGTTATTGTTCTTGTTGTCTTCACCTTGAAAACCGTTCCATTCTCTCTGTCCGTACCTTATTCTGTACTAGTCACAGGCTCACGTATCCAAAAAAAGGCTAGTAAAAAAGATAGTATAAAATGGACTCGAATGGTCCGCGAGTCAATCGAAGTCATCAAACAGATAGTCTAGGCCACTCCGCTCGCCTCTACACGCTATGCGAAGTAACCCTAGGCTGGAAAAAGAACGAAAAAGGAAGAGAGCAGAGCGAACGAGAAGGCGAACGACACACGCAGGTGTGTGTGTGTGTGTGTGTTTTGTTTTTGTTATGAGCATGGACCGCGCTAACCGACTGGCCAATGAAAAGACGTCAGTCTTAGAGCGGTTGAAAACACAAAACACTTAATCGTGTGTGTGTTTCTTTTTTTATCATTAGCAACGAGCGTGTGAACCGGCTGACCAATGAAAAGGCGTCGGTCTCAGTGCGATGGAAAGCACAAAACAATTGCAAGTGCAGTTAACTGGGACCCCGTGAGGGGGGGCGGCATGGGGGAGACGATTAGTAGTATATTCTCCGGATCAAAGACAGAAACGGTAAATTGCAACAGAAAAACACGTCTGACAAGGCTTCTACATTTTGCACTCGAGTTTTTGTTGGATTGTTTTCACCATCATCCGTTCTTTCACTTCCATCGTTCTCATCATCATTTTAAGAACTTTTCGACATTTCTTCTCTGGCCTTGCGTCGTTTGTGGTGGGGAAAGGGTGTGTGTGCGTGTTTTCGTGCGTGGACGCAACACTGGTTGCCACAGTGAACTTCTCATCACAAGTCTAGCGTACTTCCGTCACAAATGCCTTGCGAACTTTCCACATCGAACATCGACAGAACATTTAAAATCCGTCACAAAAACCGTCTTGACAAACAACATGGTATCTAGGAAACCAGTGTACCACAAGTAGGACCAACTGCCTTGGAGCGGTAAGATGCATGGCTTCTGGCAGAGTGGGGGGGGGGGCAAGACAGCGTGTAGCGGGTAAAATTGTTGTTAACTTCGCGTCCATCGCTCTTTCCCCTGGCGAACGCCGCCGAAGAACAGCAGCAGGATTGCCATGTTCGTCATACCTTGGAGCAGTAGCGCAAGGACCCGCGGGCCCGGCCATGCACATGGATGATCATTCGTTACGCCGGAATCCCCCACCATTGCCCTAGCGCAATTTTCATCTCCCACCCTCCCCGGTCGCCCCTCATGTGAATGGTCGTGTCTTGTCAGGTCCCAACCGAATTGTACACCACTGTGTGTTTAGTAGATGGTTGCCGATACGTCATTTTCCTGGCGTAGTTGTGGCTGCTATGTGGGGAGTACGAAAAACCTTGTACGCGCGTGTGGAGGATGAATTGTCTTACGCTGCTGTGGACCATGCTTGAGATACGGCCACAGCAGTAGTAGTTTCATCTGTAAGTATCCCGTGTGCAAGGTCTTATTCCATAGCATCACGTGTAGTATCACGCTGGTTGGACGGAACAATCTATAAAACTCGACACCGCACCCCACCAGCGAAATCTCTCTGAAAGTTTCCATGTAGGATAGCCTGACGCCTTTTGCCTCGGCTCTGCACCGTGCAGGACAGAAGGAAACGGTCATCGATGTTCCCCCGTTCGGTAGTTAACTTTCGTGGCAGCGTCTGAGCAGAACGGTGGCCTCTTGGATGCGTGTAGGCACCCCCTCATTACCACTGCTGTAGCATCAGGCATAGGTGGAAACGTTCCGAGGATGAACCCCGAGAGAGGCCGTTGTTTCCATGTCCAGGGGAGGAAGAAGGAACAAGGAGTTTCTTGATGACGACCACTGTTGGTCTCGTAACACAAGTAGTACGTTGTTTACACTTGTTTCACATCATTTGTGCGTGCGAGGCTTCGTCGTCGGTGCCGTCCGCACCGCTCGCAACCCTGACAACAGCCAAGAAAATCGCAACGACGACAATCGTGATGTTCTGTGTGCGGCCAACAGCAAGTTCACGCACACGCCCCGAAAGGTCCAAACGGGCGACGCTAGAATTTCATCTCCCGTGGTTCATCCCCGTTTGTCTTCTCATCTGCTGGTTGCGTACGTGCTTCGTTCCTTCTTTTCTGTGCTGCCAGTGGTGGGGTGGATCTTGGTCGACCTGGGCTTCCGCTTGCCCGGGGACAAGTACGCCGCGATCTCGCAGTCCGTCGGTGCGCACGACCCCATGGTCGCGGCGGGCAACATGACCGTCCTGCTGTTGGTTGTGTTTTTGCTGGAGATGATCGGGGGTGCCGCTATTTTCGGCGCGGCCAGCGGGTCCGGCCGTCAGCCAGGTCCGTATTTTTTCTTTTTGTGTTGGCGTCTCCAAATAGCGCAGAAGTGGTTTGCTTGCCACCCTCGAATCGCCTTCGTATCTCCGAGGGGAAGGAAAGGCCAGGTATTGGCTGACTTGGCGAGAGATTTTGGCTGTTGCTTGCGTCTGTGTTTCACCTTGTATTCGACTGCCACTGCTGTGTAGTCTTGTTCTTGAGCTTTTCGGTTCTCTACGTACTAGACACCACGAACGCCGCGCACGGTCGGCGGGGTACCAGCGGCACCCCCCATGTAGATCGGGACAGGCGTTTGGACCGCGAGTATGTCGCTGGTGTACCGTGTGATTTGTACCGTCGTACACCACAGGAAATGCAGCGGTCTGTCCCGTGTCACGTCAAGATGTTGCGTGTGTCAACACACCCGGCGGTCGCGTGGTTGGTGTAACGTGTTTTCCTCGCAGCGTTTGTCAGGCATTTCGACTGTGCTTGGTCCTCGTATTACTCTGCCGTGTAGCTTGGTGCCCCCTGTGTTTTGGGTCGACGACGACCGCATTGCAGGAAACATGTCATAGGACGTGACCCAGCGGACGACGTTGAGAGATGACGTTGATTCCTCGGTGTGTCGAGCGTTCTCGTAGTGTCCCCCCGCTGTTGAACAACGGTGGGGGAGCAGGTAAACCAGTTTTGCGGGGTCCGGCCGCGGAACTGGTGAGGAAGGCGACGACCGCCTTGTCCCACGCATGTTGACACACGTGCTCGCAGCCCGTGTAGGCGATCCTCGCGATCTCCATCTACGTCTTGCTGGGTACCGCTATTGACGATGTGAACCCGTCGATTCGTGTCTGTTTTGACGTGCTTGACGAGGTCGCTGTACCTTTGCTCACTTCGGTACCCGTCCATTGCTTGCCCCGTGCCCCGTTTTCTCCCGGTGTTTTGTTCCACGGTTCGTCCCGTACCGTGCATAACTTATCTCAGGAGACTTCGGGTTAGACCCGTTGGACCTCACCTCGAACCCCAGCAAGAAGGCAAGATACGAGCTCAGCGAGATCCAGCACTGCCGTTTGGCGATGTTGGCCTTCGGCGGCATCGCCACGCAGGCGGTTCTCTACGGCGGCAACTTCCCGTACACCGGCCTCTAAACAGGGGCGTGCGTGTGCGTCTGCTGGGCGAGAAGGTTGAAGCGCTGCCCCGTTTGCTGTATAACCTGCAGGATCGGGCCGACTATAGATGAAAGATAGCCCGCCGGTTCAAGGCTCGGTGTGCTTGTTCGGTTTGTTACTGGCCGTCAAACTTTATCACGGCTGCCGTGCTTTTGGGTTGCGGCAAAGAGCCGCTATGGTGTGTAGTACGCACGCAAATTTTGGGGGACCGGGCGGCGCGGACGATTCCCCCTGTAGTGCGTCCGCAGACCTTTTCGCCATTTTTTTCGGGCTAGAGTATATGGTGTCTTTTATTTTGTGGGGAAGTCCATGCCACGATTTTTTCCAGCGCCGGTATGCGGTCGTGGTGTAAGTGCGGCTCGTGTGATACCCTCCGCGCGTAGAGTTTGAACGCCGTTTGGGGTGTGTCGCGTCTTGCACATGCCTGACCATCAGGCGTGGAACACTAGCAACCAGCGTTCAGCGGCGAAAGATTTTGCCCGCAGATCGGTGTAGCGCGGGCGCTACGCTGGGTTCCTCTCACTTAACTGCTGCTGCTTTTGCAATGTGTGGTTGAGGGTTTCCGCACGGGCGGAAATGATCGTCGATTGCACTAATTACTGCGGATGTTCTTTTTCGAAGCCCCTCCCCTCCGGTGTGTAAAGGAAGGGTTGAGTTGATGGTCTCGCTTCCCCCTTTTGTTGCAGCTCGCATGGCGTGACGGCTCCATGCTCCATTTGGCTCTTTATCTCGCCAAGGTGTCGCGGTCATTCAATGATTTTGGTGCCGTATTTGCGGTGGGCTTCTCTGTGCTAGGATCTCGCCGGGCGCGTGTTGTTGATTTTCTGGCGTTAAACACGCGGTAGCGTGTGTCCAGGAGCATGGGACCAACCAACTTGCCTGTTCCCACGGTAACTTTGAAGCGGGATGGCGGTGGGGAGTAAAAGGGTCGTACGAGTCGGTATTATGCCATTTTTGAGCTTTAAGCACGCGTCTGAACAGCTGACGGCACGCGTGTAACGATGATGTTGACGTTCCCCTTGCTCGCTTCGTTTTCTTGTGTGCAACGATGTTGTTTGCGGCCGATCGGCTCTTGATCGGGCATTGAGTGATGACGTGATTGGTTCGAACAATCGGAGAACGGATTCCATCGGGCTCGCCGTTCTCTGGTCAAGAGAGTTGCCTTCGACACGCAAGCTTTTCCCTAAAACGCCGCTACAACGGTTTTTTTGCCGTCGCGCTTCGTTTGTCCCGGTCAAACCGATCAATCGGTTGACCAAATCCACCAGTCCACACACCCCGGCCCGCCTTTCTGTGTTGACTACGCGCAATGCGCCGTGGAGATTGGAGAGGTTTTCAGTTTGGCGGGCCGGCGGTGCTTGAGCCCTCCCAAGTGTCTACATGCGAAAGTACATGACATGACCTGCCGCGCCCAGCCAACGAAGAGCGGGTCAGCGGCTGCCTGGGACCTTCTCGAAGGCACACCGGCCAATTGCCCACAACCTACCTTCGCCTAGGGTTTGGTGTAGTGTGGCCCGAGGCGTAGCGTGTCGGAGGCAGAGGGCTGGAAGACTGGTGTCCGCCTGTGTGTCCCGTGTCCAGTTCCAAGCTCCTCACAGCACCGTGCCGTTGTACGGGGCCGCGTGACTCTTGCTTTCGGTGCCAGCTCTGAAAATCCCAAACAAGGGGCAGAGCCACGGGCAGGCTTAATCGTTCCTCTGAGTAGCGGGGACTTCGAACCCTCGGCTGGTTGGTCTTGACGGCCTGCCCGCCTACATAGCCGTAAGCTCAGACTGACCCTCTGATCTACTTTCTAATCCAGTCAGTGTGTCAAGGCAAAACACCGGCCTTGCCTTCGAGACCCTTTTCCGGCCTACCAGCGTCACCCCCCCCCCCCCCCCCCCCCCCCCCCCCCCCCCCCCCCCCCCCCCCCCCCCCCCCGGACTGGGAACGTTACGCGGTCCACTACCCAGTGGTGCAGCACGACGCACAGGGGACAAATCAACCGATACGAAAGCCTTCCATGATACCTTCGAGCGCCGAGCCCTCCTGCGCTTTTTCGCCGATGTTCGGTAATGGCCAGGAGGTTCACAAACCCCCTTTTGGGCCTGACCCCTCCCGGCGTCGAATGAACGTGACCAAGTATTAGCGTTTTCTTCTCAAAGCTCCTTCTTATACATGCACTAACCTATTGAGAAAACCACACACCAGTCACAAAACTACTGCAACCCGCCTCTACCCTAGCCCACTACCTCGAAGGTAACACCTTCTTTCCCCAGCCGGTCCACAAGGGAGGAGTTCAACAACACCGAGCCCGGGGTATGGACTCCCCCGCTGGGGGCACCGCAGTTGAGGCAGGAAGGCACAGTAGGCAGGGAAAGAGAGGGGGGGGGAGGGGATCACCATCCAGAATGTCAGCATGTCGAGTCGAAACAAATTACGCAATGAAGGCACAGAATTTAGCTGGGAAACAGGGGGGGGAAGGGGATCACCCTCCAGAATGTCAGCAAGTCGAGTCCAAACGACATACGCAATGTAACATGACCTGCTTGGGAGGTGCTTCGTCACTACCACCGCCTTTTGGCAATTTACAGTTGCTCGTGGTCATGTTTGAGAGACACTGCTGAACCATGAACTGCTGCGTACAATGGACGTTGAAACCGTTCATCGCTCGTGGGCTCATAGTTGCTTGGAGCTGACGCGACCCGCACGGCAGAAGGGCCATCGGATTGGAGTCAGAGGGCCTGGGAATAGTTTGGGTCGTGCTTTATCATGGTACCATCGTGAGTGCGGCAGGCAGGACGCCTTCTTTCAGATATAGAACATTGGGGAGGGGGTTGACCCGCTTCAAATGAGGCATCAACTCAGCGGTCAAGAGCACCAAGAAAATAGTGACAGCAGCGGGTACAGAGGGTGCGAAACGCGCTTGTTTATCGCAAAGCAGCGGTACAGCATTACTATTATACTCGTCCGCTCGCAACGAAAAGCTCGGCACATCGGCACTTGTACGACCGTCACATCACCTGACTGGCAACGACGATCTCTCCTCCAGAAGACAGCGGGCCACGGCCAAAAAAATTATCGGGGTTGCCACGTAACCTGCCATGCCCAGAAAACCCCAAGGTTTGGGGTGCCCAGCAAGCACACGGAGAGAGGGTGAGCAATACCGCCCAATTCAACAGCAGACAGCCCAAAAACAAAACAGGAAGGGCGCGGGGTACATTTAGCCGGCACACACGCTGGCGGCTTCCTCAAGAACGAAGCAATTTTCAACCTCTGTAGTACAAACTCTATTACACCAACTTTCTTTCATTGTAACCGGCACCGAACCAGAGTAATCAACAACACACACTCAATAGGTGTTCTTCACCTGGTTCTGGACCCTTCACCCTGGTAACCACGGTCACGTCTGGTTCTCCCGCGGGCGGTGCTGCTGCAGCCGCCGCCGCGGCAGCTTCTACCACGCCGGGGTCGACGCCGGCGGCGGACGTGGCGGAGGGCTCCGCAGTAGTTGGGGGCGTAGAGTACCCCTTGGCCAAGAAGGTCATCTCGAAGGACGTCTGCCGAAAACGAGCAGCAGCAACCACAACGCAACATTAACATTTACAGGAAAAAACGGTTTCGTTTTATCAAATCGACACGGAAAAGAGGGACATGAATAGGGCGCCCGTAGCTCTCTGATTGGTCAACTGTTAGCGTCAACCAAAAAAACTAAGATGAGACGACCGTTTTCCTTCTACGTGGCAGGGCAACGGCAATGTTCGTTCGGCGAGACCTTGTCGGATCTTTTGAGAGCGATCCCATGTGCCGCAAGCGGCCGAACCTTCCATCCACGCGGAACGGCACAATCGAATCCTACCGGGACGGGATGGGCTTGGACGGCACGGGAGCTTTTACCTCGTACACCCTGATGTAGCGAGTAGTATGAACTAAATCGGTGCCATCACCACCCAGGGATTACGGTCAGATGGACCCTCGGTGTGATCTTCCCGTTCTTCGAATAACACGAATGAATGCCCCCACACCAGGGAGGGTGAACACCCGTTCTCGTGCGAGCAAACAGCAGTACCGTCACCCGTCGGGGCGAAGAGACAAGACAACCAACCACCAAGACAGCCTTCGGTCCAGTCTCCAGCTAACTGTGTAACTCGCCTCGTTCATCTGCTCTTCGGTGGGCCCCTCGTGCGAGAAGAGTCCCCTGCTGAACGCCCCGACGTTGTTCAGGAGCAGGTTCCTACCCCACCCGCTCCTGCAGAGAAAAACCAAACATGAACAACAACAACAACAACAACAACAACAACACGGGCAGCATGCGTAGGGCAAAGCACGATGCCGTCAAAAATTGATATGTGAGCCGCAAATCGATGAAATGACCATTAAGTGAATCGGAAGATGAAAAATTGTTCATGAAACAAGAGGAACCAGTTAGACTGCCTGTACGACGTGGAACAAAACAACTGAACCCTCGTCAACGGGCCATACCTTACGACAAAATAAACAAGGAAATACCCGAGGCCCTACATGTCGAGGCAGAAGGTGCAGCGGTCCTCCTCGTGCTCTACGGGGATACAGCGGCGGCACACACGCACTACGCAATGCTATAAGGATTAAACTTTCACACAGCTACGTATTCCCAAACCTTCGCAGCCTGAGTTTCTGAAAAACGCACAGTTTGGTGTGACGAGGGCCGGCCTCCTCTGTCCAAAAAGCGACCGGAGAAGAAACAGGATAATTAATTACAATTTTCCCGTGGGCTCTGTTATGTTCTGCGGATAGAAGAAGGATTCATTTCGTTTTTGTGCGAAAAATGTTTTCAACGAAAACATGTAAACCTCAACTGCCGACAGATTTTCAATTGTAGAGTGGTCGGACACCGAGCCGTTAATCATCCGTATGCAGTGATTCGCCGCTTGCTACTCGCGGTACTCGCACCACTACCGCCGCAAAGGGGCCCCATAGAACCTCAATTCTCTCTCACTGCTGTCTCGCTCTCTCACTTTGCGAGCGTCTGAAACACCCCTCCGAAGAGAGTCATCTGCGTGGCCCCCCACAACTGTCCGGCCGTGAAGTATGCTGAGTAGTACGGGCACAGTCCGGCCCCCTGGTCACCAAGCGCCCGGACGAGCCAAGGAACCATCATCATCATCGCAGCAGAGGCAGCAGCAACACCAACAGCAACACGGAGAGCACCAAAAACAAGCGTGCTCATGGGGGGAAAAAACAAAATGATTTCAGTGCAAAACCAACACCGTGCAAAAAAAAAGTGCAAGCTTCTCATTTCTTAGGTAACTGGTGGCCCGGTAACCAGAGTTAGACCTCGCGGGTTCTCAGCCCACCGCGTGAAAAAAGCCGCAGCAGCGACCTCACCTCCCCTCTGCCGGCCAGGGAGTTCTGCGTGGACCTCACGACCGCTGAGTCTGCCCCCGGGAACTTGAAGCAGTACGCCTCTATCCCCGGCGTCTGCTCGTAGAAGGGGCCGCCTCTCTCCACCGGACGGGCCCCCACACGAGGAATCTGCAGGCAAAGGCGAGAAAACGACATATTGTGGAGAACATACATGACGCGATTTTTCACAAGGCAAAATCAAAAAGGTCAACTGCTGCTGCTGCTGCTGCTGCTGTTGCTGCTGTTGTTGTTGCTGCTGCTGCTGCTGCTGGGGCGGTGTAAGGAGCACACGTGCAGAACTCCAGGAGGGGCAGGACAGCAACGCGACGCGGAGTCACGCGTCTAGGCCATCTCTGCCGCTTGTTCTGCTGGGACGGCGCAGCAGACACAAAGGCCAAAACTGTGCAAGACAACAAGAACAACCACGGTGACAACAACCAACCAACCAACACATGCACAACACAGCTCCAGGGTTGGGGTTTGAAGGTCCTCCCATTCTTACCTTCGAGGGAGGAAACTTGGCCTGCACCTCCTTCCGGACCTTCCTCAGATCTGCGGCGGAACCGAACCCGTGCACGGCCGCCTCAAATGTCGTGGCGTGGCCGGAGTACCTGTTCACACAACATAAAGAAAAAAATTCAGGGTGCGGGCTTGAACCAGGCAAAAAACTGATGCCCAGTATCCAGCACGTGTGTTTCCCCCCACTCCCTGCAAGAAGATTTCAACGCATCCACATGATCGGGGTATCATCTCGATAATACCGATGGTCATTTGCGGTTGAATGCTTGTGAAAAACGAAATACAGCTACGTTTCACGCCCGCGAACCGGCACCCGCGAATCGGCACATCTTCAGCGATTATGCCGCCGCCGTCGCAAGCCCCAAAGCAGCTAGCTGTTGCCGATAGACGCTTGCATTTGACAACGAGAACAAGAAAAGACAAGGCTGCCAACGGCCTCTCTTCCTTACCCAGACGGCCCGACATTGAAGGTGACGAACGAGGACACAGAGGAGCACACGGCAGGGCTCACGAACTGCTTGGCGGCGAAAAGGCACCCGAGGTCCGCGGGGACGGAATCTGCACGACGAAGCGCGCGAGATGCAGCAGGCACGCTAAACGTGAGCACGCGGTACCGAAGTGAATGATTTCATGGGCCGAGACCGTCATATCTTCATTGGTCGGCAAGTCAGCGCGGTCGATGCCAGTAAACACACACACAGAGATAACAGCAATGGTGCTAAAAAAACGATTGAGGTTTCTCCTTGTACCTCAGAAGCACGACACTGCTGCCGTCCAAATCCCGCGCCTCACCCCCCTGTCGGTAGAAGAGATAGCGTGTTCATGGTTATTGTCCCGCTACAGTTACACGGAATGACGTATTTCATTGGCCAATCGGTCACAGCGTTTAGATTGGAAAAAAAAACGTGCGCGCGCACACACACACACACACGAGATCCCCCTCCCGCGATCCCACATCATGGCCGTTTGGAATAAGCGTTTGGCAGGTCGTTGCCGCAGTGAGGCTAACGTATTTTCATTGGTCAGCCGGTTAGCGCGGTCTCGATGCGATGCAAAACGCTCAAGACACAAACGCACGCACACGCTTGTCGGGGTTGATCCCGGACTGGACGGCGTTTTCAATCAAGTCTCGATGAGGCCTACGGATTTTGTACTTGGTCAGCCGGTCGGCGCGCGGATGACAGCACGTAAGCCACAGCAGCCGTGCATGCCGTTTCGCACTGCTGCGTGATCATCTCGGGACAAATACACATGTATTTTCTCTGTATCGGTGTTTAATATGGAGAGTAGTATAGACTTTCCCATGTCGCTCCTTCACAGGGTCCCAGATCGTGGACTCTAGCAGCATTTTTGGTGTTTTCAACCGAAAGTGGGGCTTCTTTTCATTGGTCACCCAGGTAGCGCGGTCGGCAACAACAAAAGACACATACTATACCCACACGCACACACTCTACTCCTCTAGCCCTTACCGAACGCGCAGGCGTGCATGATGAGAACGCCCTTGGCCTCGGCCGCCTCGTGGAACATAAGGGTCATCCGCTGCATGAACTCCGGCTCTCCACACAGGTCGATGTAGTCCGTCCTGTCAACAAATTTTCACATTTATCGAGTAAATCGAATTAAATCTCACTCTTTTTTGTCGTTGTTTTGTTGTAGATGCCGTACTGCTGTTGTTGCCAGCGATGATCATCGCCATCATCAATATCATTGTCAGCAGCGGTTGCAACAGCAGCAGCAGCAGTGGCAGAAGCATTGCTAGCAGCAGCGGAAGCAGCAGTGTTAGCAGCAGCAGAAGCAGCAGCAGCAGCAGCAGCAGCAGCAGCAGCAGCAGCAGCAGCAGTAGTGGCAGGAGTAGCGGCAGCGCAACCACCACCACGACAAACAACAACAGCAGCGACCGCTACTCTTGAAACCGTACGGCAACATTCACCGCAAGAGCCCACACTCAGGGGCAGGCACACCACCGACCAGCTACGCGAAGGGTGAACACCGCCCCGAAGTCCGACGATACAAAAAAAAAACATTTCGTATTCTTTCGTCCTCCTCGCAACAAGCGCACAAGCGAACAACAGCGGCCAAACAATACCGCCACGGAGCTAGCTTCTCTTGGCCCTAACCCGGAGTCCACGCAGGCGCTGACAACAGCCTCCCCCAAGAAACGGTAGGGGCCCGTGCAGTTGAGGCAGAGGCGCGCGCGGCCCACGGCCTTCCTCAGCGCCGCCGCGTCCGAGTTGTCGACGACGGCGATGCTCTCCTCGCTAGGCACGGCCAGTCCCTCGGCGCGCAGGGGAGCTAGCACCTGTCAGCATGTTTGGTGTTGTCGCTGTGTTGTTGTCGTCCTCGTTGTTGTTGTTGTTATTGTTGGGGCTGCCGATGCTAGTCTCCAATGAATACCGGCGGAATTTGGTGAATCGCAGTAATCTGTGCACAACATAATACTGTAGAAAGGGCTACGGAGACTGATCACGGGCTCAGCACAATAGCGTGGGTTTGCATCCATCTTTTGGTCGGATAGAACACTTAGAGCCAATATTTTGAGCTCTCGGCGCCAACTTTCAAGTTCGGTCATTCAAGCCCAATCTTTGCACCTCACCGGGGGGGTAGAATCCTGATAGGTACGTATGGATCGATCGCCCACCCAGCAGGCACGTCCATACAACAAACATATCATGCATGTTATGGGGCCCCTTTTGCGGAGCAGACCACATGTTTCGAGATTGAAACCCCATCGCCCCCGCAGTCCTTATCCTGACGATAAGCCACTGGTCAGAAACTAGTACATTTGGGACCTGGTGGAGCGCTCTACAGCGCGTACAGGAACGGCACCTTATCTTCCAGCTTAGTCCTGGATCGCCCGGCGATTCCCCAAGACACCCCAGCCCAGCTCCCATCCGCGACGCTGCGAGCCAGCCGCTTGCACACATGAGCCCTGCGTGACACAATGAACAAGGGAGAAGAAAGGGGCGAGCTCAGGGACCCACCCCCTTTGGGTTCTCAGGGCGGGCACGACGCCCCGAGTGATCATTTCCCGTCTACACTCAGAATTTACTTTGAGAAAATGCAATCACTGAAAGAAGACCATCTACCCGTTGGAGACAACACCACAGCATTCGAAAAGGGACGCGTGTCAAAGCCTGTGCAACGAATGGGGGAAAGGAGCCTGCTGGATACTAGGCTTGTGTTGAGCCTATTTTAAGCCAAATCGGGGGAGGCAAAAACGTGCTTGATTCTTGTCCTGTGAAGCTTCTCGGGGAATGTTTCACGACCATGGTTAACATCGAAAGTCTATTTTAGGCTCAGGCACGTCCCGCAAATATCGCCGGTAATCGGAAGGCAGTATGTGCTTCCTGCCACTTGCATCAACGCTACATACTTGAACATGAACATTCGATGCCTGGCGTGGCCCTGATTACCACGGTACACTGCACGGGACAACGTTCCCGGGCTCGCGGGATGAACGTATTCGGCACACCGACGGCTACCCCACTGGTGGGGCATCTCCTTATTCTGCCCGCTTCTGCTGCATACAGGTTGCTGAAAGAAACACATTCGGCACACCGACGGTTACTTATCCCACCGACGGGGAAACTCCTGATTTTCTCCACCGGTTCTCTAACCCTTGATCACCCCACCCGATGCGGTAGTTAACCCACCGACTGGGTCTCGTTCCTCATGGTTCGGTTCGCCGTAGGGCGTGGGGGCGTGTACTGGTGTGTTGCAGGGCCATCGTGAGACCTACCGATAAGCCGGAACCGTCCAGTTTGGATGCGGCCATGGCCGTTGGGTTATACCGTAACTGGTTGGTGTCCATCTACACCGCCGGTGGGGAGCATCGAACCTTTTTCAACCCCACAGATACGAAACGAAAACATGAAGCCACTGCTGTGGTGCGAGTGGGTCGTCGATACATGCATGCACAACACGCGGCAATGGGAGGAAACGACAGCGCGGGGGGGGGGTGGGACAACCCAATACATCCCAGGAACACCTCCCCGCCCCGAACCCGTGAAATGAAAAACCGCGCACTATTTTCACAAGGACAGCATCGTTGCCAAAGAAACGTTTACTTTGACGCGATCAAGCTGGCGGTACAAGTAGAGGGGGCCCATGCATGCAGTGTATCCTCGGATAGTTGCTAATGAGCGAAACAGCGTCAGAATGGTACCATTAAGGAGATACCGTAGTTGTGCGTGTTATCACGCCCCCGTGTAAGCGTTTTTCTATAGCATTTTTCTCCACAACTAGGATGGTGCGAACACCACACCAACTGATACCTCTCCGGAAAGCCCTCGACAAGATGTTTCCAAAACCACCCTTTTCGGAGGTGATACCTCCCTGGTGGTGGAGGAATACGCTACAGAAAAAAAAAAAAATCGCTAACACGGGTGTGCGATAGCACGTACAATTACGGCATGTGAAGAACGAGAATTTTGATGTTGACCAATGTTGAAAACAACCGCAAGGGCAACAGAGATTGCACAGCAGACACACAAGACCAGTCGGAAGGTATCGCGACAAACAGAACTCGTTAATTCTCGCACAGGGCGGCAGTAGAGGCTGGTCAAAACATCAATTTCACGCATCTACCGCCACACACCTCCTTCAAGATGAAAACCCACACGGTTCTAAATTCGGGTCAAAAGAGCCAAAACGGAAGGCGCTCAAAAAAGGCCAGTTTTGAGGGTTCGGTGGCGCATTCTATTATCATCAGTAGAGTACATCATTAAGAGGGGTCGTGCGTGCTGGCACGTTCAGCTTTGCTACTGGAGCTGAAATATAGACGGACAAAGCAGCCTTTGAAAACAGTCGGAAATCTGCGCTGGAACCAAGCGACAGCCAAAATTTGGCTCAGCCGTGCTCGCCGTCACTGACCCCAATCTCCTGCATTGCGGGTTTACCGTAATTATGCGTGTTATCGCACTCCCGTGTTTGCGTTTTTCTATAGCGTCTTTCTCCACAATCAAAGAGGTATCACCTCCGAAAAGGGTGGTTTTGGAAACATCTCGCCGAGAGCTTTCCGGAGAGGTATCAGTTGGCGCTCGCACCCTTCTACTTGTGGAGAAATACGCAAGGGAAAAACTCCAACACGGGGGTGCGATAACACGAACAATTGCGGTATAGCATTTAGCTGATGCCCGCTCGTCGCCTGCTTGCATCAACATGGGACCAGGGTGCGACAAAAGGCACGAGGAAAGGACGTTCAACAACACGGTCGAGGAGGTTTACCAGGTGGAGCTTACTAGCTACTGCCGACACCGTTCAGGGGTTTACGGTCAGCGGCGGTGAGCACGGGTGTGACAAATTTTGGCTGCCGCTTGGTTCCGGCGCAGATCTCGGACTGGTATCAAAGGCTGCTTCGACCGTCGACATTTTGATATTATAGCTCCAGTAGCAAACCTGAACGTGCCCGCAAGGACGACGCCTCTTCATGGTGTCCACTACTGATGACAGCAGCAGATGCACCACGTACCCCTGGCGGGAAGGTGATGTCTTGAATAGGATTAAATAATAGAAAAAGAGCCAGCGTCAAACCCGTTTTCCTCGCCCCCTTTAACCGGCTCCTCGATACACGCATCAACTTGACGGTTTTGAAGAGCGTAGTCGTACCGCCGCTAGAGTACGCCGGAGAAGTATGGGAAGGAAACAAGAACATAGTGAAAGAACTCGAGGTGGCGCAGATGAAAGCAGCGAAAATCATCCTAGGATGCTCCAAGCGCGCAAGTAATGCAGCCGTCAGGGCAGAATTGGGGATCCACTCCCTACGGTCGGGAAGAGACGCGAGGAAGCTGACATGGCAGTATCGCATGTGCGGGATGGGAGAGGAGAGGTTGCCCAGAATTGTATGGGAGGCGAAGTGGGCAAA